TGATGAGTGGTGGGGGTAGGAGCACCCACCATGGTCTCAACCATCCAGTCTTTGCTGAGTGAAGATCAGGCTAGGATTGGAGACTTCCTGTTTTTAAATTTCTTGGAGTCCTCAAAGCCTTTGCCGTTAATACAAAGACTATATTTTGAGACTGTTACAAAAGATGATTGTCACATTATACATGGAGCCCTCCCGAAATGAAGCTGTCCTTACCATCCCTCTTCCTGCCTTAGAACAGCCCAGGAAAATGAACCCCAGGTTAACTGGAATTTATTTTAGTTAGAAGTTTCCTGACCGAGGCCAGAAAGGTGGCTCACAGGATAAGAGTACTTACCATCAAGCCTGACTATCTGGGTTTGACTGCATGGACCCAATTGGAACAAAGGCAGGGCCAACTCTTATAAGTTGTCCTCTGTCAGAAATGCACTGCAGCACACACACACACAGTTTTTTGTTAAGCTTTCTGACATCTAGTGGGCTGTTCTGCAGCCCTCTTTTCTCTGGCTGAACGAAGCTTTGTTTCCTTTGCCTGCATATGAACCTCTCTATGCAAGTGTACATGTTCTCAGGTACCCAGACAGAGCCATCTGCAGAGATGGTTAAAGTACAGGTGTGCAGCATCACTCCCTCCCTCTGCTGGAACCCATAGACAACCCAAACACTCAGCTGGGGTCGGAGTGGGAAGAGGTTTCTGGTCCCAGCTCACCTCAGCTGCCAGGCAGGGCTCAGGTTTACCAGCTGAGTCACACGCCCATGTTTTAGAGAATGACTTCATCTCTGCCCAGGCTATGGGCATCGGGTTGCAGAGGATTCTAGAAGTGCTTTTTAAAGTTAAGGAAGGCCATGTGCAAGAACACTGAACTGCTTGCCGGCTCTATAAATTCATACTCAGCTTCAGAACACAGAACCATGCCAGGAGAGGACTTCCTGTCCAGAGCCCATGGCTTCCTGTCTCTTTGGAAATTCTCTTGTCACTTGTTCTGCATGAGTCTGGGGTGCCTAAACCTCCCCTCCCAGGCCTGGAAAACAATCTGTTGAGGACATGACTCCTCTGCTGTGGGCTAGCACATACTTTGCTTTCTCCTCAAAGACTACCCATGTAATCATGGGTCATAGTTCATTTAGGGCCTGAGGAGGTGAGAGAAATCAGGGTCTTACAATAAAAGAGTTTTCCTTTATCTCAGATAAACATAAAGATGTGCAGGTAGGGAGACTATCACTGTTGATGCCTGAGACCCCCCCTCTGTTACTATGTTTCAGGACATCCTGTAAAGCAAGGGTCCTGACTTGCCATTACAGATATGGTCAGCTTGCCTGTGATGTCTGCCATTAGGGACAGTCTAGCCCCTAGTCTTACTGTTTTCCTTTGACTAGAGATCTTCCGAGGACAGACAGGGGTACGGGGGTTACTGCCATGCGCCACCAGGCCTGCCCATCTAACCAGTTCTGTTTTACTCTAAAAGGGCCGGGCCACATTCTTTTATTGGCTCTCAATTAGCTTAGAAAATGAAAATATCAAGCACCCTCCATTCCAGCATACCCCAGTCACATTAGATATGGAATGTTTGTGTTATGCTTTTATCTATAAAATAAATGCCACACTACCTTCAACACTGCCATCAGATTGTCAAGCTAAGTCAGAGTTGATACTTAGTTTGAGGGCTCAGCAATGAGTAAAGAGATATAACATTTTCCATCTTGGAGAACTTTCTTCCATAAGACTTGGATAGTGCCATAGGAAAGCACCTGCTGGCCTGGTGAAGGTGAGGGGTATCCAGTTCAGTTAATACTGAGCCAGCTAACGAGCCTAGGATGGGGACATGCCTAGGAGACAATGTGACAGGAGTCCTGCTCCTGCCCGCATCACCAAGGCGGAACCCAACGCTTCTTGTTTCCAGATCGGAGTTTTCTTCAGTCATGTCCACCTGGAAAATGCTTTCCCTGTCTATGTGTTTACTTGTTCCCTTTCAAATGGGTGTGCTTGGATCATTTCTCTGCACCCAGGACTCGAAGCTGAATTTCAGCCACGTTCTCAGAGTTCTTCTGCTATGCAGGATTGCTTAGCAGCAAATGACCTGGGGCTGCTGTGTTTGGGGGCCATTCTGTCTGTCCATTTTCCCTGTTTCTCTCTGCTCAGTGTCTGTCGTGGCTGCCTGCTACCTCTGAGGCATCTGATTGTCAGTTGGCAGGAGAGATGCCCATAATTAAAACTGTGGAAAATGGACGTGTAGTGCTTAATAGGTGGGAGCTTTTCATTTTAGTGACATTTTTCATAACTGTGCTAAACCTGTGCCTTGAATAGCCTTTTCTCTCTGTGGGTGGACAGGCTTGAAGCCTGCGCTTGGATCTATGCAGTTGTGCTCGTTTCCATTTGTAGAGGTTCTCGGCTGCCTTAATCTGCTCAAGCTGCCATAGCAGAACACCACACATTAGGTAACTTAAGAATTCGTTTTTCAAAACCCTAGAGACTGGGAAGTCCAAGGTCAAGGTTTGATGTCTGCGGGTGGCTACTTACTGGTTCATAGACAGCTGTGTTCCACTGGTTTCTCCCATAGGAGAGTGTCACAGTCACTGTTCAGGGTCCCATGCACAGAAGCACAAGTTCCATTCACGGGGGCTCTGTCACATGACAAATCATCTCTCAGTGACCATCACCTTGGAGTTTGGAGTTTTTAACATGAATTTGAGGAAGACCCAACATTTAGAACATAACTCTGGATGTATTTGTTTTCTTTCTGTTTGCTGCTCGTTAAAACTTGATGAATTCGAAAATACTATAAAATATGTATCCAAACAATATAAACTTGAATAGTTATATTTTCCACATTAGTTTTCTTTTGTTGCATACAAATTATAGATGTGGGGCTAGAGAGAGCTCAGAGGGTGGAGTGCTTGCTAGGAAAGCATTTGGAACTAGCTTTAGATCTCCAGTGGCCACATAAAAGCCGGGGAGGGGGATGGCCATCAACTCTAACCCCAGTGATGGGTCCACCGGATCCCAGGGGCCAGCCACTCTAGCCAAAATGGAAAGCCTCACAGGACCGTGTCTCAGAACATTATAGTAATAATGAGGTGGAGAGTGATAGAAGAAGGTGCCTCAGTCACGAGGACGTGTGCCTCCACAGATGCATGCACACTCATGCCTGCAAGCACATGTACACATAGACACAAAAGTGTTGTAGTTATTTAAGCACCTGTTTATTAGTTCCTGGTTCTACAAGCCAGATGTCTGGCACAGCAAGGCTGGTTTCTCTGCTCAGGTTTTGAACAAGCAGCCGCCAGCTCCACTTTCATCTAGAGCCCGGCCTCTTCTGAAAGGAAACGTTTACTTGGCTCATGGTGCCGAAGTCTCCATTTGTGTTGCTCTGGGCCCGTGGGGAGGCTGAATACCATAGCAGAGAAAACTATTTACCTCATAGCAGCCAGGAAGGGAGGAAGGAGAGAAAAAGAGAAGGGAAGCAGGGCCCCAATATTACTTTCAAGCACACCCCCTCAGTAGCATAATTTCCTTCAGTTAGGCTACACGTTTAATAACTCCATGGTCTGGAAATTAAGCCTTCAGCATATGAGCCCCTGGGAGAAAATCCAGACCTAAACTGCAAGAGCTTCCAGTGTCTCTGACTTCTTTTTCTGTCACCAGCTGCAGAAAGTTCTCCCTGTTCAAAAACCCACATGTGCTGGCATAGTGTCGCATGCCTTTAATTCTAGCACTCTAGAATGCAGAGGCAGGTTGATCTTTGTGGGTTCAGGGACAGCCAGGGGACAACACGGGGAACCCCTGTCTCAGGAAACAAAGCAACAACAAAAGCCATCGTGATTCTGTTGGGACCAGGGGATGATCTCACTTTCTAAAAGCCAGCAGAGACCTATGATCTCACATCACATTCAGGACTTTGGCCCAGAGCCTCAGGGATGAGTTGCAGCACCAGGCTGGCTTTTTGAAGGGAGCTTCACTCAGCTTGCTACCACAAATGGGCTCCAGGCCGCATCTCCAGTCTTGCTCAAGCTTGGAAAACCGCAGTCCTGAGTGCATGCACTGTTTCCTAGGAGGCCTGTGGACTGTTAAGCTTCGGTTCCTTGTTTGCCGTGGTTTGGCAACGTGTCCTCCCAAGACCCCTGTAGTAAAGTCTTGGTCCTCAGCCTGTGACACTATTAGACAGTGATGTTGGGAACCCAGGTCCTTCCTGATTCTCTTTGCTTCTGGTTACCATGACATGCTCTGTCACATCCTCACAGGCTCTCTCAGCCTGAACAGAGAAGCAACAGAGCCACTGTGTCACAGACCAAAGCCTCCAAAAGTATGAGCAAAGACTTAACCTTTCTCACTTCAAATTGATTTATCTCAGGTATCTGAATGCAGTCACAGTTGTGGTTTTCATTTCCCTTTTCATTTTCTGTGTCTGGGGTCTTCCTTCTCTTTCTTTTATGATTGTCATTTACTTCAAACTATTTTCGTTTTATTAATCAGCATGTTTAAGAGTTTAGAATAGTTGGAATTCTTCAGTAGTATATTGACCAAATTTCCTAGAGCGTTTTTTTTTTGTTGTTGTTGTTGTTGTTGTTGTTTTGTCCTGTGTAAGTCTATGTGTTATAGAAATATATAACAAGATTACAGCTAGAGTCCATAAAATTATATGAGTTGTGAGGACTGACTGATTTCTAGGCAGAGACATTGCATTATCAGTCAACATAAAAATACCCTAGTGCGTTTGGATCTGGGGACAGTTTCTCCTTTCTCACCCCATTAACTTTGCTTTCTCTATCACTAAGAACACTAAAATGTCTGAAAAATAAGGGAAGCAAATTGCTGTATCCTTCTGAGATATAAATAATTTCTGCTAAAACGGGCAGATTAATGGGCACAGGAGAGTCCCTTGAACTGGCTGCTCTTATCCAAATGCCTATTTTTAAATGTTTTACCATCATTAACAGCATATTTGCTCCATCTCTGCTTCAGATCCTCGAGCTATTTTCAAAATTGTATTCTATGCTCTTTTCAGATGTGGCCGAGAAGTATTTTCAGGAAAGCATGACTCACGTCAAGGATTCTGAAGGAGCAGCAAGAGCCAAATTTCTTTCGATTCAAGATGAATTTTGCAATTTTCTGCAAATCGCTGGACAGAAAGAAGTGAGTGAGTTTAGATCACAATTGTCAAGCTATACACGTGGGCTGCCAAAGACTACTTCACTCCTCAAGCATTTAGTAAGCACCTACTATGTACAGGGCATATCCTAGCCTGGGAGGGACATAGGTGAATAAATCAAGGAGCCACTCTTGGCCAGTATCCAGATACTTCCTCTTAGAAAGAAAACTGTGGGAAGCAAATGCTACATCCAACTATGAAAGATGACAAAGGACTGAAAACCTCAAGAACCCAGTGGGGAAACCCCTACTCACTGCATCCTGTGCTTCTTCTAACTGGTGTGTGGCAGTCAGTGTGGCCAATCCCATTCTTCACATTTGAGTATCGAGTAGTGGAATTATCGTAACTAATGAAAAACATAGCACAGAGGTTTCAGCTCACTCCCTTTACTGCGGGTCTGTAAAGGCATGCGCAACATCGCTTAGGAAAGTGGAACGAGACCAGAACTTATACTTGTCAGAGCTTATATCCACCAGTAACAAAACTCTGAGAACCTGTTCCCTATAAATTTTACCTGTTCCAGAAAGAGACAGTAGATACCTCAGAGGTTTGTTGTGTGTGCGTATGTGTGTGTATGTGTTTTCAGCCTAGCATAGCAAATCTTGGAGATGGAGATGAAGATGAAAAACGTTTTCTCTTTGTTGTCTCAAAACTCCCACAGCTCTTTTCCTCATCCTTAATCTCTCTTCTCCCAACTAAGGAACATAGGCTCTTATTCTGTATTCATTCAAGTTTGTCAGGCCAGGATAGATCCACAGTCACCATAACAAGAGTTTTTCACTCTTCTTCCCAATCACCCAACCAAAGAGAGAGAGGGCTGTGCTTGGGAATCACTTAACCAAAGATAGAGGACCCTGCTAGGGCCTTAGATGTCAACCCTGGCTCCATCTTGCTCCTATGGGGACTTGAAGATTCCTCATTCACCTCCAGATGTCTTTAATACATGCATGGTTTAACATTTCCCCTCCTACGAGGCGTGCTCTCTTGTCAGGACCACTCTAGCATCTGCTCTTTCCCAAGTGCTCATCCTCAGTGCACTTGTCTAGTCTATTCAGAATTTAAAAGCACATCTGTCAGTGAACATTCGTTTGGTATCCCAGTGAACCTTCATGCCCTCACAGCAAAGCTGGCCCGGTCTTCCAGTGTGTAGATTCTGCTGACATTTCTAGGCTCACTTCGTTCCTCGCCCTAAGCTAATTTCCTGTACTAATAGTTTTTCCTTTTCTTCCGGCATGTGTGGGTATGCCTGTTCATTTGTGTACAGGTGCGTATGCACACCTTTGCACACATGTGGAGGCCAGAGGATAAGCTTGTATGTCACCCTCGGGAAGGTCATCCACCTCCTTTAAGACAGGGTCTTTCATTGGCCTGCAACTCACCAGGTCGGCTAGACTGGCTGTCCAGTACACCGGGACCTTTTTGTCTTTGTGTCACTAGCTCTTACAAGTGCATGCCGCCACACCCAGCATTTTTATGTGGGTTCAGGGGATTGAATTCAGGCCCTCGTGATTGAAAATACTTCTAAAGACTGAGCCATCTCCCCAGCTCATACCACCCTTTTCTACACACACACACAAACACACACACACACACACACACAGCGAGAGAGAGAGAGAGAGAGAGATACAGAGACAGAGAGAAGCTTATAGCTGGTCTCTTCTTTCATTTCCTCCTGGAAGGCGCTTCCTGATTCATTCCAGGCTAGTGTAATCTGTCCTTCAGTTCCCTGCTTTCCCTCCCTTGCCTGCACTGGACTCTTCTGAGTCTTCCTTACAGAATTCCCACTGATGTAGTAAAATATTTGTAGTATAAACTTATATGGATATTTTATGTTGCTCATAGAACCAAGCTGAGTTCTGTGAGAGCAGGGACCTTCTTGCTCATGGTGGAGTTAATGAACAGACTCAGAACAGATGCTGGGTTGTTGGCCAGCTGACTCTTTACTCCCACAATTCTTATACTCAGTCTTCACTCCCATCCTTCCTGCCATTGTATAGAGGTAGCTGATGCCCAGTGTCACTGATGATAGTCTCAGTGATCTTGAGCAAGTCATAGACATCAGTAGTCTTGTTTAAAAGATGTGTCTCAGTCTCCGAGACTCCCCTTGGAGATCTTGGCAAACTGGCTCCTTCATTCCAGAATTATTTCCAGCCCTTCTATGTTTTTGCAAGGATATAAATGCTGCCCCTTCTTTAGATGCATGCAGCCAAGCTAGGGTACATTGTTGAGAGGATACAACATGGCCTGGTGTTCTGCCCTCCTTCTCCTGCCAGGTACCCCTGTAACGGCTCAGCTTGCCCAGCCACCCATGACAGCCTCATGCTCTTCTCACCCTTGCTTGCAGAACTGTCACCAGGGAGTGTAGCAGGTATGTCTAACAACAGCTGGCCCGAGAAACCTGGCACAGATGAGCATGGGTTATACCTAAACCATCCCAGTTGTAGCTACTGCCTATTCATACGATAACTTGCTCCAGTAGCAAGGTAACCTTTGGGAAGAAAGGATTTTTGCAGTAAACAGTGAAGGCCATTCTGCTGCAGGCTAAGATATTCTGTGAGAAGACACAAATGATTGTCCCTGACAGAAGTTAACCATCCACCAGCCTTGTCTCCCTGTTCTTCCCTACATGCTTTGCTATGGTCAAGTGAATCTCCTCACTAGCCCCACATAGGCTGTATGTTTCTCCTGGGCTCTCATGTGCCCATGCCCTCTTCTCATCTAAGTCATAATTCTTGGTTCTCTTCATTAAGTTTTTCCTGTTTTCAGTCATCATCAGAACATGCCTGTAACTTGATACACATCCACCTCTATTTCCCTCGTCAGGCTGAAACAGTATTAAAGGCTTCCTTCAGAGAAACGATGTCTAGCACTTCTCCCTATCTCTGACTGGCTTCCCAAAGCCCCACAGTCAAATGCCATGGAAAAGTCACCTCACCCAACTCTTGCTTCCTTTCTTGTCCTTGTTCACAGGTGTTGGGAGGGATGGACACAGACAGGCCTGCTTGGAGATCCCAGTCTTCTGTGTGTTTTCATTGGCCATACTTGGCAAGTTACATGGTTGCTTAATGTGCTGGCCCCAGTTCCTAACTCATGCTACTGGCAACAAAAAGAACAATGTTCTTCATTCACACCTCTGCCTGTCTGTAACACAGGATCAGGGTGTGGCCCCATGGGGAGCTATGCTATGCTATGGGGAGCCCTTTCCATGGTCCTAGCTTAATTTGGCTGTTGAATTAGCATTAGTGTTGTGCAATCATAAGTATGGAGTTTTTGTTGTTATTATTGTTATTGGGTTTTTGGTTTTGGTTTGGTTTTTTGGTTTTTGGTTTTTTGAGACAGTTTCTCTGTATAGCCTTGGCTATTCTGGAACTCACTCTACAGACCAGGCAGGCCTCGAACTTTCTAGAGATCTGTCTGCCTCTGTCTCCCAAGTGCTGGTATTAAGGGCATGAGCCTGGCTGTTATTGCTTTGGTTTTGCTTTGTTTTGTTTTCATGCAGAAGAATTTCAGGGAGTATTGTTCACAGTTCACAGATGTTCTGCCTTTATGTCATGGTATTTTCAAACATTAGTATCAGGAAATATTGTTTTCTGATCGGCTCATATTTTTTCTATCCCACGTTGGTATAAATAAATAGGGCAAAGCAAACAAAACATGATATCATGCTCCATGGAGTGTTTACTTTTAGCTTCCTAAGTATTCCCTGTGAGACTAGAAAGTCTGGAAGCTTGACCCACAAGTGCAGCCTAGTTCTCTCTTGTGTGAGAACAATAGCACACAGAGGGGGAAGAGCATGGACCTAGAAAGGGCTGGGGAGATAGATTCCAGTACCACCATTGATGAAGTTCTCCGCTGCTGCTCTGTACCTTGGCCTCCTCCTGGGTCAGAAGAAGATGAAATCAGTTCACACATATACTGAGCCCCTGACTCAGAAGGCTTCCTCACAGGCTGTGCTCTTGCTGCTCAGTGGAACAGATTCTAGCGAGAGATGACACAGTGTCCTTGGTGCTTTCTTTCTTCACATTTTGTACTTTGTCTCCCCAAATATGTTGTTTGCTGACAGTAGCCCAGTTCTTAAGAACATTCTTCTCTAAAATGGTAAATGTGGATCAATTTCATGATCTTTTCTTGAAAAGCACAGGCCTTACTCAGTCCCTGAACTTTTGTAAAGATTTCTTTCTTTTTTTTTTTAAACAATTTATTCTTATTTTATGTACTTTGATGTTTTGCCTGTATGTATGTCTGTGTGGAGGTGTCAGATCCCCTGGAGCAGGAGTTATAGACAGTTGTGAAACTGTCTATAACTTCTATAACTTCTGGAAACTGAAGTTTCCACAGTCCCCTGGAGGAGCAGCCAGTGCTCTTAACTGCACAGCCACCTCTCCAGCCCCCTGTTTCTTTGTATGTGTATGAGTGTTTTGCCTCATGTATATCTGTGCACCACTTGCATAACTGACACTTGCAGAGGCCAGAGCAAGGTACTGGAGCCTCTGGAACCAGAGTTTCAGAGGTTGTGATCTAGCACGAGGGTACTGACCCTAGGTCCTCAGCGCCTACAGCAAGTGCCCGTAATCACTGAGCAGACCTGTGAACTTTCACACCACACATGTTTTGTCCTTTCCACAGAGAGCGACCATGATCCTGAGAGAGTCCCTGGAAGCCAAAGTAGGAGCATTTGGTGACTTCAGCCCTGAGGTGGCAGAAACATACCGGGTCCTGGGCAGGACAGACCTGGCACAGGGAAACCACAGCGGAGCGCACACGAAACTAAAGAAGGTAAAAGTGGGAGCCAGCACTGACACAGAGTGAGGCTCTCCCTCACTTTCCATGTCAAGTTCTTTGCCGCCACCATGCGTTTAAGGGAAAATTCATAATGGCTTATTTAGGCAAGATGGCATCACTTTGGTGGTAGATTTAAGCTAACATTTGGGGGGAAACAGAGTTCCTCTAAAATACATTGAAAAAGTGAATTATCAGTCAAGTTTGATCACACAGATATTTTTAAATTTTTCATACTGTGACTTAGTAAGCCTTTCTTGTTATTGTGATCTTTCTGCATACCCGGTTCACAGAGGAATTCTGTTGTGATTGTTTTCTTCCATTCTCCTTTTGAACCTGGAGTCTATTTTCTGTAGCTGGTGTAAGGTCTCGTGTTGTCTTTTTCCCAAATACCTGCCCATAGCAGAAATGCACTGACTGCAGGCACCATTTCCTCAAAGGGCCCAGCACTGCCCAGACACAGGGTCAGGACAACACTACATTCCCACACGCACCTGACTTTGTTTCTGGATTTCTGTTCTGTTCTGTTCTGTTCTGTTCTGTTCTGTTCTGTTCTGCTAACCTCTATTTGTCTAGGTGTTATTATGTCACATTTTTAGTTATAGAGAGTCTGTGGAATGATTTACTGTGAGGGAATACAAGATAGCTCTCATGGCTTTTTCTTATCAGGGTTTCTGGATACTTGGTTGTTTTTCTAATATATATATATATATATATATATATATATATATATATATATAATCTCCCATATGTGTGTATGTGTGTGAATCAAAAAAAGTTTGCTCATGTCTGCTTTGTGTCTCTTATTCATTCAAGTGTTCCATTTCTAAGCTACATGTATTTTAAGTGTATCCCTGTACCTTTAATCATGACTACCGTAAGTGGGGATTTATTCGTTGTTGCATACTTTTACTTATCTCTGTGTATCTGAGGATTATCGGGATTTGTGTTTTAATTTTATGACCTTTCTAGCTAGCTTAGTTTTTTATTGCTTGGACTAATTTCAACATTGATTCTCTTAAATTTTTAGATATACTATTATATCATCTACAAATAGACATCATTTCTATGCTTCTGACTGATTTCCTTTATCTAATTGCTTTAGCTTACAAGTACAGCACAATAGTGAATGATAGGGTAGATAATGGGCTCCTTTGCCTTCTTCCCAGTCTTACCAGAAACTGCTCCAGAGAGTCGTTTTTCAAGAGATTGACTTCAGGCAGGGGACCTTTAATCCAAGTATTCAGGAAGCAGAGGAAGACAGATCTCTCAGCTCAAGGCCAGCCTGGTCCACAGAATGAGTTCCAAAATGGTCAGGGCTATTACAGGGGGCCTCTGAAAGACTCTACCCAGCAGGGTGTCAAAGCAGATGCTGAGACTCAAAGCCAAACTTTGGACAGAGTGCAGGGAGTCTTATGAAAGAAGGGGGAGATAGAAAAACCTGGAGGAGACAGGAGCTACACAAGGAGAACAACAGAGCCAAAAATAATCTGGGTCCAGGAGCCTCTGCAGATACTGATGTGCCAACCAAAGACCATGCAAGGAGAGGACCTGGACCCCCTGCTCAGATGTAGACCATAGGCAGCTTAGTCTCCATGTGGGTTTCCTGGTAAGGGGAACAGGGGCGTCTCTGATATGGACTCAGTGGCCGGCTTTTGCCACTGAGGGGACAGCTTTGCCAGGCCACAGAGGAAGAGCATGCATCCAGTCCTGATGAGACATGATAGACTGAGGGTCAGATAGTAGGGGAGGAGGACCTCTCCTATCAGTGGACGAGGGGAGCAGCATAGGGGAAGGAGAGAGAGAGGGAGGGAAGGACTGGGAGGAGGTGAGAGAGGGGACTACAGCCAGGATACAAAGTGAATAAACTGTAATAAATAATAATCAATTTTTAAAAAGGTCTATGTCCAAATATTTAAAAAAGATTTCTAGTTTCACGAGTCTTTTATTTAATTATTTTTATTTTTATTTTTTTTATTTTATTTATTTATTTATTTTATTTTTTATTAAATTACAGTTTATTCACTTTGTATCCCCCCATACCTCCCCCATCCCCTCCAAATCCACCATCTCTCTTCCCCACCCATGTCCCTCTCCAAGTCCACTGAAAAGGGAGGTCCTCCTCCCCTTCCCTCTGATCCTAGTCTATCAGGTCACACAAGTCTTTTTAAAATAGAAATAAATGTCAGTTTTTATCAATTCTTTTTTTCAGCGTTAGCAGGAATGATCATATAAGTCCTCTCAGTTCACTTCATGCAGTATATGTTATCATGGTAATCAACCATGATTGCATTCCTGGAGTGAATCCTCCCCTTGGTCAGATTGGATTATTTTTCTAGAACGGTGCCATCTGAGTTTGTTTTATTCTATTATAGTAGAATGTCAGAGAGTGAGGAATTTATAAAGAACAGAAATTTCTTTTCAGCTTTAGAGGCTAGGAAATTGAAAGCCAAGGAGCTTACAATTGATGGTGGCCCTTCTATTTTGTTCATTCAAAGGCAGAAAACAGAAGGGCAAGACAGGAAGGGAAAACAAAAATAAGGGAGACCAGACTCTACCTTTTCAGTGAACTTACTCCCAAGATAGCAGACCACCCATGAAGGCAGAGCCTTCTTGGCACTGACTTCCCAACCTGTAGCACTGGGAATTAAAATTTCAACTACTACTTCTCAAGGGAAATCCTGACATCATAGCAGGTGTTGAATCTACTACTAGATATATTATTTGTTTTAGGGGTTTTTACACTGATAATTGTATGTTATAATTAAGCATCAATGTTGTGTTTGCTTCAGAAAAAAAATTAGGAAATACACCTATTTTTTATAGTCACCTTTATTTTTCATATACCAAAGTGTATGGTGTTTAAATATTTATATCTCTTAGGAAACCTTTTGGGCTGGTGCTTTTGTTGTAGAAAATTCTCTTAAATTTTTCTTTATTTATTCTACAAAAGGTGGCCTATTACAACTTTCTGTCAATAATTGAAATATTTTGGTAAATAATATTTTCTAAGTAACTTTCATTTACATGTTTTATTTGTTTATATAAAATTTTCAAAATACTCTCATGAATCTCTTAGGCTTCCATTTTTAGGATTGTTTCCCAGCATAGGTTTGGGACAGTCTGATGTGGCCAGGTGTGAATATCATTTCTTATGTCCCTGGCAGTTTTACCCTTTACAGTACCCATAAGGAAGGGCCTGGCTCTCAGACAGTCAGTCAGTTGTATTGGACCACACCGCTCTTCAGAAAAGCTCAGCTTTTTCCTTCACTCTGGTGATTGGCAGGTGCAGGTCTTGCTGCTTCTGCAGCATGGTCATGTCCTATCATCTCTGTAGCCCACTGCAAGGCCTGGAAATCGACATGTCCGTCAGCTTCCTCAGGAGACAGCAGGTCCTGCTGTGGCCGACACTGCTCAAAACCACCTCAGCTTTAAAAACATTTCAGGTCACATCACTGTAAAACCCACAGTAGACGGTAGCTTTTTCTGCCTCTGATGTGGACTCATTAACCCTGAGTCCTGACAGCAGCAGCTCCGATGTCTTAAAGCCCTCTGGCCATCTGCCAGGATCAGAGAGAAGCGAGAACTTGTGTGTGATTGCTGTTCGTCTGGTAGGGGCAGTTATCATTCCCTCCTTGCTTTCATCTGAGGACAGGACTGGCCGCCCTGTTGACACAGGACACAGGCAGGGACTTTAAACATGCCTTTCTCAGTCTGCTGCCTGGAGTTTCTCACTGGGCTTTGAGAAGCCAGCAGCTTTCTAAACGTGATTAGCTCATGTTTGTCTTGTTCTTATCAACAACAACAGCCTTTACTCTGAGTTTTCCTCTCAGAAGCCAGACTCCACCAAGTGTGGATTTTCCAGATGTACCCTCCTGTGCTAAATGGTCCAGATGTGGGCCCAAGGTCATGCTAAACAGAAAGGCTTCAGAAACAAAGCAGACAGCAGATTGAATTACCAAAAGGGAAACCGAATTATTGATCTGTCTTTTAAAGGCATCTGCCTGCAGGGAAATATTGGAGAGCTCTGTGGGCTCCAGTTGGAAATTTCCACAGCACAAGCTCACTTCCTTTGGCAACACAGAGAGAGAAACATTTTGGTCTAGGAAGGCAACATTGCTCACATTCTCGCCCAGGTGAAAGGCTGCTGAAAGAGCTCCTGGTGGCTGCTTCCTCGGTCAGCAATATCTTAGGTATATTATACCAGGCCCAAGTACAGTATGAAGTTCGCTTGGGGTCCAGCTTTAATCTGACCTCCCCATTAAGAACTGTAATTGGCAGGGTTCTACTCATTACTTCATTGTATCACATATCATTTCCAGCTACGTGCCTGGAAAATAATAAGAGTCCCCAAACCCACTATAATGAATGTTTTTAGGAAATAAGCTGGAGCATGGTTTGTTTTATAGGATATAACAAGAAAGTCAATACCAACAGGGTCTCCCCTGATCCTGCATCAACTCTGGAGTGCAAGCCATGCTGTCCCCGAGCTTCCTGCAGCCAGCCAGCCACTCAGATCTTTCTAGATGGTGTGTTTCATGAGCAGCTCGTGTACCCACACTGCAAGATCTGCCTGCACTTGCTCCTTAGTGGCCTACAAAATTTACTTTCCCACCCCCCCGCTTGGATATGCCAGGAAATGCAGAGCCAAATTTAGAGTCCCTAAGGTGCCTCCACAGCAGAAACTCATTTTCATGTGTAGATCCTGTTTCTCTGTGTTCCTGGCTTTCCTAATTGCCTCGCTGAGTCAGTGTTGGGATGTGGCTGTCCACTTACATAGAGAAAGGTCTGAGCTGGGGAGATAGCTTGCCACAAGAAGCAGGAAGATCAGGATTCAAATCTCTGAACTAATGTGAACCTAAGCATGGTGGTGCATGATTCCAGCTCTCCTGTGGGGAGATGGAGGCAGGGTAGGAAAGTCCCTGGGAGCTCCTGGGCCAGCTGGCCTGGATTATGGTGCATAAGTAAGACTCTGCTTCCAGTCGTGGAAGATGAGG